AACTTTGTATGAAAGTGCAAGAGAATCCTCCTTTACATTATTTGTATTGAATATATTTATATTTATATAAATATATATAGATCTAGAGTCTGAGGATCAAGATATTATAAATGGCAATTACAATGATTCTTACAGATCGTAATTTCAACACATCATTCTTCGACCCTGCAGGTGGAGGAGATCCTGTTCTATACGAACATCTATTTTGGTTCTTCGGTCATCCAGAAGTATACTTAATTATTATTCCAGGTTTCGGAATAATTTCACATGTAATTTCAGCATTCTCAGGTAAACCTGTATTCGGTTACTTAGGGATGGTTTATGCTATTGCATCTATTGGTGTATTAGGATTCATTGTATGGTCTCATCATATGTATGCAGTAGGATTAGATGTAGATACACGAGCTTACTTCACAGCTGCTACAATGATTATTGCTGTTCCAACAGGTATTAAAGTATTCTCATGGCTGAGAACATGTTACGGAGGTTCAGTACGATACACAGCATCTATGCTATTCAGATTAGGTTTTGTATTCTTATTCACAATTGGTGGGTTAACAGGAGTAGTATTAGCAAATGCATCTATGGATGTAGCCATGCATGATACATATTACGTTGTTGCTCATTTCCATTATGTATTATCTATGGGAGCTGTATTCTCTCTATTCTCAGGATTCTATTACTGGAGACCAAAAATTTTCGGTCGAATGTATAGCGAACCATTAGCTCAAATTCAATTCTGGTCATTATTCATTGGTGTAAATACTACTTTCATGCCTCAACATTTCTTAGGATTAGCAGGTATGCCACGTCGAATTCCTGATTATCCTGATGCATTTGAAGGATGGAATTTCGTTTCATCAATTGGATCATTAATTTCAGTAGTTTCAATGATGTTATTCTTAGTAGTAATTTATGATATGTTAAGAAATCAACCAGAAGCTAAAGGTAACCCATGGTCAGTTCCAGCTTTCTTCATGAGTACTCCTTCATTCGAAAATGAATCAACAGCTACAACAACATTAGAATGGGGATTACCAAGTCCTACACCATATCATGCATTTAACATGTTACCAGTGCAATCATAATAACATTGTACAATTATAAGATTATTATAATAAATTAATAATCTATAATAATATATTAAACTTATTGGAAAACAAAAAGAATATGAATATTTTATATAAATTATTAAGCTATGTACTAGAAGTAAAAAACAGAAAGTTATAGAAAATGAGAAATTATAATAAATGGAGAAAATACAAAAATTATTAAATTTAATAAAAATATTTATTCGGTAATATTAACATTTTTATAATTAATGGTTTGTTTATATAAAAAATGAATATTATAAATTAACAACTATATTAAATTTTATTTTATATTTTATGTTAATTAATATTGTAGTTTTAGATTAATTATAAAAAATTTTAAATAAAAAATGATTTATAATTTAATTAATGTACTAGCAGTATTGGTACCTATTTTATTAAGAGTAGCCTTTATAACAATTATTGAACGTAAATTAATGGGATCTATGCAACGACGAGTTGGTCCTAATACAGTAGGTATTTATGGTATTTTACAACCGTTCGCAGATGCTTTAAAATTAGTAGTTAAAGAAACTATTGTACCAGCACATGCTACAAAAAGTTTATTTTACTTAGCACCTATTATTACATTAATGTTCAGACTTTTAGGTTGGGCTGTTATTCCTTTTGGAGCTGGATTAACTATTTCAGATTTTCCATTAGGTATTTTATATACATTAGCTATTTCATCTATTGGTATTTATGGAGTATTATTTGCCGGATGGTCTGCTAATTCTAAATATGCATTCTTAGGATCATTACGATCAACAGCTCAAATAATTTCTTATGAATTAGTTTTAAGTTCAACTATTTTAACAGTTATTTTATTAAGTGGTTCATTTAATATTACTTCTATTATTGAATCTCAAGAATCTATTTGGTATGCTATTCCATTATTACCAGTATTTGTTATTTTCTTAGTATCTATGTTAGCTGAAACAAATCGTACTCCTTTCGATCTTCCTGAAGCTGAATCAGAACTTGTAAGAGGTTTCTTTACAGAACATAGTGGTATGATTTTCGTATTTTTCTTCTTAGGTGAATATTGTAGTATTGTATTAATGTCTACATTAGCAGGTATTTTATTCTTAGGGGGATATAATTTACCTGAATTATTTGTAAATGATACATTTATTAATTTACAATGTATTATTCTAGGATTAAAAGCTTGTTTATTTATATTCTTCTTCGTTTGGACACGTAGAACATTACCGCGATTACGATATGATCAATTAATGGTGTTCTGTTGGACAGATATGTTACCATTAGCTATTGCTTTTGTAATTCTAGTGCCTTCTATTTTAATTGCATTCGATATCTCACCAATTTCATTATAAATACTCAAATAATTTAAGTTTAAACTTAAATTACAAAGAGAGGTAAAACACTCTTATATCCGTAAATTTTAACAAAACATAAAAATGTTGGCATAAGCAGCAGCTTTAGCTCTGCGCGCTCCGCACGGCTTATAAAACTTATTACAAATTTTAACATCTAAATCCCCTAAAAATAAAAATAATATTATTCATTTTATTAATAAAATAACCCCCGAAGGGGTGAATAAATTGAATACTGTAAGAATCAAACTAATATAAATAGTTAGTTACGTTATCATTAATTAAATAATAAGTCGATAATACTAAAAATTAAATAAAATTTGCTCCGCGGAGTTATTTTTATAAAATAAAAATAAGTCAGTAGAGCTAAAGCCTTTTAATAGTTTTGTATAAATATTTTTCTTTTGGTTTAATTAAAAATATTAAAGGGAAGGGGAGGTAATTGTAATAAAAATTAAAGTTAAAATTAAAGTTTAAAATTATTAAACCCTTTAATAACTACTTTTATAAAAATTGTCCAAATCCTTTAATGATAAAAATAAAAATTCAAGAAAATATAAGACAAAACTTTATATTATTTTGTTGTTCTTAATTACTTTTTCTTTTTAGGTATTATATTTTATATATCATATTTTTTCACCGAATTAAAATATTTTTAAATTTTATTCGGAAAAGCTCTACAAACAACTAAAAAAATAAAATTAATATTCTATATTTCAATAAGTTAGTGTTTTTATTTTTATTTATTAAAAATATTTAATATTATTTAAGAGAATGAATTAATATATTCTCCTTTTTTAATTAAAAATCTCATTTCATTCAATTTTTAATTAAAACGGAGACAATATATTGTATTATATAATAATATAATGGTAAATAAGAATATAAATGATAATAATATTATGGTAAATAAGAATATAAATGAGAATAATAATATTGTAGATAAGAGTATAAATGGCTCCGAGGACTTGTTTTTTCTATAATTTTGTACAAAATTATAGAAAAAAGCGGAGCGCGCAGCAAATAAAAATATAATAGATAAGAATAAGAATAATATGGTAGATAAAAAATAAATAATAATAATAATAAGTACAATTATTATATTTTATAAGAACTTAAAAATTAAATAATATATACTATATAGAGAAGTGGTTAATAGATTTTTATAATAGCTTGGCGCTGCTACGGACTTGTTTTTTTATAATTTAATAAAAAATTATAAAAAAAGCGGAGCTCGCGGCTGAAAGGGGGAAAAGCTCAGGGTTGCTACGGACTTATTTTTTCTATAATTTTGCAAGAAAATTATAGAAAAAAGCGGAGCGGGTAGTTATAAAAATTTTTAATAGCAAATAATTTTATTTAAAAAAGTTTTAATATATACTTAGAGATACTTTATATGTTGTATATAATGGAGGTATGAGGAGTTAAAAAGTAAATTTAAATACTAAATGAGTAGAAAAATAATAAAGTAGAGTAAGTATTATTACTTTTTTTTAGGTAGAGAATATTAAGATATTAATTCTATAATATATTATAATTCTGTTTAGGGTTATTGTTTATTTTGGCATAATGAATATATATTCAGTATAATATTTCAAGATAAAATTAATTAGGGAGACAAATTTAATTTTTGATTTTTAAATAAATGAAAAATGAGAACTAAAATATAGCTCCGCGTTTGTCTTACAAACTAAAAAAATTTATTAACAGGGACCGGGGGTTATATCTTAATAAATTTATGCAGAGCTAAAAAATCCTTATTTATTTTATATTCTAAATATAAATGGTATAAACATATATAAATTATTCTGTAGTAGAGCGTAAGATCAAAGAAGAAAAAAACAGAGACTTTTTCTAATTTAATTTTATAAAATTATAGGAACAAGTCCGTGAAGTAATTAATTTATTTTTAAAATGAGCTCCGAGGACTTGTTATAATTTTGTTCCAAAATTATATAAAAAAGCGGAGCGCGGAGATAAATAAAGAAAAGATCAGTAAAATATCTATAAATATAATTTTAAATAAAATAATTTAATTTAGGTACATATATATACATACATATATATGTATTATAAAAAACATAGCTCCGATTAAGGAAAATTATATAAAAAAGCGGAGCGCCGCGCAGCTAAAATAAAAATAAAACTAGGAATGAAAGGATATAAAAGTAGTAAACATTTTATTTTATATGTTAAAAATAAATAAATAAATATTTTACTATATTACAATGTTCATTAAAAAGGAGGACAAAAAAATAAATAAAAAAGATGCCACAATTATTACCATTTTATTTTGTAAATCAAATTAGATTTGCTTTAGTTGGTCTATTTATTGTAACATATGTAATGTCAGCTTATATCTTACCTTACTTTGTACAATTATTAGTATCACGTGTTTATATTACTAAATTATAATTAATTAATAAAAATGGGGAAAAATAAACCCCTAAAGAAAAAGAGATAAAAATGGGAAATAAAGAATATATTATTATATCTTTCTAAGTATAAGTAGAAGGAATTAAAAAATAGAAATAAAGAAATAAAAAATTATTAGATAATAAAAAATAAAGAAGGATTAATAGCCAAGTCTGGTTTAAGGCGTTGTATTTGAACTACAATAATGTGATAAGCATTCAGAGGTTCGAATCCTCTTTAATCCGGAAAAGGATATATAATAATAAAAAACAAGAAGTAAATAAAAAATATATTATAAGAAATACATATAAATAAAAAATAAGAATTATGTTAAAAAACATATAATAAGATTATAAAAAATAATTGAAACTTTTTAAAAAGAAAGAAAAAGATAATATAAGTATTTGATTATGGTACATCCAGATGGGTATCTAGGTATTTAACACATGCAAGTCTAATGATTAATTAGTTAATTATGGCGTACGGGTCAGGAAAAGTTGAGATAATGCCTAAGAGATCATAGAAATAATGAATAATAAAAAATGGAAAATATCTGCTCTTAGATTTATTCAATTCCTAATAGGTAGTTGGTGAGATTAAAAGCTTAACAAGCCAATAATGGGTAATGTAAAATGAAAGTTTTGTACATGACATTGGAAATGAAAAAGTCCAAAGTATCTATCGATGCGCAGCAGTGAAGAATATTGGTCAATGCACTAAAGTGTGAACCAGTAACCTAGATTCAATAAATTTATAAAAAAAATTCATTGATAACATATTTTAAATAATGATTAAAATATGTATAAGTCCTGTCTAATATTTGTGCCAGCAGAAGCGGTTATACAGAAAGGGCGACCCATTGGAGATTTAAATTGGTGTAAAGGGTACGTAGCCGGTTTACAAATAGTAAACTAGAATTTAATTGGAGTAACAAGAATACCTAGAGTTAGATTTAATAAGTGTTGATACTAGGGGGAATGCTAACGGCGAAGGCATGTTACTAGGTAAAAATTGACGGTAAGGTACGAAAGTTAGGGCATAGAAAGAGATTAGATACCTCTGTATTCCTAACCGTAAACGATGTAAACTAAATATTAGTTATAAAATTAGTGTTGATCTTAACAGGTTAAGTTTACCACCTGTAGAGTATGGTCGCATGACTGAAATATAAATAATTAGACGGCTTTAAAGCAAACGAAGTGGGGTATGTTATTTAATTCGATGATCCGCGAAAAATCTTACCACATCTTGCATTTTTTCCTTTTATTTTCGAATAAGAGTAGGTTTATTAATTAATCTGAAAAAACAGGTATTGCATGGTTGTCGTCAGTTAGTGCTTGTGAGGCGTAAGGTTAATTCCGTTTAACTAACGCGATCCTCGCTGTGATTTTTTACATTGCAGTATTACTTTGATGACAAGTAATGTTAAGGGGAGTATGACAAATCCTCATGATCCTGATGGTGTGGGCTATAGACGTGCTACAAGAATAATTAACAATATGATGCAATATCGAAAGAAGGAGCTAAACATTAAAAATTATTATTATACTGATTAAGGACTGGAACTCGTCCTTATGAAGCCGGAATTTCGAGTAATCGCGAATTAGAACGTCGCGGTGAATATAATCTTTAAAGTGTACTAACTGCTCATCACGGGCTGAGAAACGAAATATGATTAAGTTTTCATATAAGGCTTATTATTATAATATTTTTTAATATAGTCTTTTGACACTTTTTAGTAATATTTTAAGTTATTAAAGGATGCGAATCATTGTCGTTGATTGGTCTGAAGTTGAAACATGGTTGTGCTAGGGGAACCTGGTGCGGGCTTTTAACAAAATATAATCCCCTATATTTTAGTTTACTTTTGCACTTTTTTTTTTAATTTAAAATACAATTAATGTTTTATAAATTAAAAATGTGTAACTAAAAACAATAATATATTGTTTTCATATATTTCTATATATAAAAAGATAATATATCAATAGAAAAATGATATATATATATATACATTATTTTTGTATAGTAAAATGATCATTATATCTGTTATTCTATAAAATAATTTATTATTTTAAAAAGAATATATCTTCTTAATTACTTATTTATTATTTGTTTTGAGGAGCTTAATAATAAAATTATAATATATTATTTAATATAACAACAATATATATTTATATATAAATTAATATATTTCTATATATAAAATTATATTCTACGACAAATATATTTTTATTTTTTAATTCTTAACTTGAATAAATTTTAGTAATTATAATATATATTATATACAAAACACGAACTAATTCGAATAATTATCGTTATGATAATAAATTTTATTATATAATATATATATTTTATATTATTTCTTAAGGAGAACATAATAAAACTATGTGCTATTCAGTACAAATAAAAAAGTTTAAATTTCTCTAAATTATTTTTAATATACGGTGCAAATCGAAAAAAAAAGATATCGTTATGATAATCAATAAATCTAAAAGCTAAACAATAATATATATATTATGACAAATTTTTTTATTAACTCACCCTTAGAACAATTCGAAGTTGTACCTTTTATTAGTATTAATGCACCAATTTTTGGTAATATTAATTTATCATTAACTAATTTAGGATTATACACTTTAATTGTAGTTTTCTTAGTTCTTTCATTACACATTTATGCAAATAATTCATTTAAATTAATTCCAAGTAAATGGTCTGTAGCATTAGAAAGTGCTTATGCATCAGTACAAAAAATAGTAACAGATCAAATTGGATCAGAAAATGAACGATATACTCCATTTATTTACTCATTATTCTTTTTCATTATTATTGCTAATTTAAATGGTAATATTCCTTACATTCCTTGAGGAAATAAATTTAGTTATTATCTTGTAAACTTTTATTAAACATTCATGAATACAAGACACATTTATTTGTGTTTAACGACTTATAAACTAGTAATAATTATATAGTCTAATCAATAATGAAAATTATTGTAAATTTTTATTTATTAATACATTTGACGGATTTACTATTACTACTTCAGTTATTGTATCAATTGGTTTATCTGTTATGATTTTCATTGGTGTAACAACATTAGGACTATATATTCATGGTGTACATTTCTTTGCTTACTTTATTCCTTCAGGAACACCTTTAGTTCTTGTACCTATGTTAGTTCTTATTGAATTAATTTCTTACATGGCTCGAGCTGTTTCACTTGGAGTTCGATTATTCAGAAATATGGTAGCTGGACATACTCTATTAAAAATTTTAAGTACATTCTTATACAAATTATTTACAAGTGGTATTATCGTAGCAGCTCTTACATTAATTCCATTTGCTATTTTCGTAGCATTAATTGGATTAGAATTAGCTGTATCTGTAATTCAAAGATATGTATTCTGTGTGCTTGCATGTTCTTACATTAAAGATAGAATTAACTTACATTAATTTAATAGGTATATTATATTAGTAGCCTTCGAAGCTCTAAAATTAAATACTTTTTTGTAAAATAAATCCCCTATATCTTAACTAAAAAATATATTTAATTTTAGTAGCTAGATGTCCGATAAAATTCTTATTATTATAAGCCCGGAAAATGAATTAAGGTATAAAAATTAGTATTAAAATAATTTAATAGTGATGTTTAATTAATAAAATCTAAAAGTTTTAAAGAAGAAATAAAAGCAATAATTTTTAGTTGAAAACAAAAAGTTATTTTTTTATTTAGCTGCATTACAGGAGCTAAGTAATAATTCGGGAGTATCGTATAACGGTAATTACATATGACTTCTAATCATCAAAATACCAGTTCAAATCTGGTTACTTCCATAATGTCTTTATCATATTATATTTTTAATTATCAAAGATAAAGTTTTCACTTTGGATTTGAACACATAAAAATATTCTCTATTTTTTAAGTATAATATTAAACTTATATAAAAAAGAGTCTTATTTTTAACAATTTTTTATAAAATAAAAAAATCAAATTAACGAGTAATAAAATAATTTATATATTTTTAAACTCGAAAAATATAATTTATTTCAAAATAAAACTTTTATGTATATAAATTATAAAAAAATAAAAAAATGGAATTAAATTTACTTAAAAAATCTTTTCAACCGTATCCATATCATATAGTTGAATCTTCACCTTGGCCATTATTAATGTCATTTGCAGTATTTTCAATGATGAATGGAGGAGTTTTATATTTTAATAATATTTCATTTGGTGGAGAATTATTAACATTAGGATTCTTATCTACATTATTTAGATTTATTCTATGGTTCCGAGATATTACTACAGAAGGTACATATTTAGGAGATCATACATTAATTGTACAAAAAGGATTAACAATGGGAGTAGCTTTCTTCATTCTTACAGAAGCATTCTTCTTCTTAACAGTATTCTGGGCATTGAAAGAATTTATTTATAGGGATTATATTTTAAAATTTTACTTTAGAGTTTTATTATTTTCTAATTCCATCTTATTAAGAGGTACAGGATATGCTATTATAGGCAATAATCATCCTAATAATAAACCAAAAATTTTATCTTTATCAGATTTACCAAATGATCCTGAATTTTTCAAATTATATAGTTCATTAATAGGTTTATTAGCTACTAATGGAAGAACTATACATTTAGGTAATAAATGGTTCTGGTATAAAAAAACAGTTCAATTACGTTTATCTAGTACTGACAACGATTTTTTAATTTGATTAGCACATTATTTTTATTCTCGTCATTTTTATTTTAATGGTCGAGAAATTAATTCTCATTCTACTAGTAAATCATACCAAGTTTTTAGTTTATTTTCTAATACTTGTTATTTAATTTGGCTTCATTGAAATGAAGAAGGTATTTATCGCTTACCTACACATTTTGCAGAATATTTTTCTATTTATACATTATCATTTTGAGCTATACGAAATGGTCAATGGATAGGAAATTATTTTTATATTTATGTAAATCAACTTAATAATCAAGAAAAAGAACTCTTAATAAGTTTAATTGAAGATAAATTAGGGTTTAAATCCAAATTAGCTAAAAATAATACAATATTAGCTATTTATAATCCTGAAAAATTAAGAGAACTAATAAAACCATATTTTCATACTACACAAATTAATCGATTAATTAAAAAATAATTTCTATAAATAAAATTAGTGCCCAAAAAATTAGGGAGATATTATATCATTATTATAAAATAATATATCATACATAATTTCATATTATGTTTAACGACTAATCCGCTATCCATTTCAAATTTAACGAAATGGGTTATATAGTCTAGTCAATAATGAAAATTATTGAAGCAAAATATTTATTGCTTAGTAATATTAACGATTTCCATTCATCATTAGCACCTACAGTTGAATTAGGTTCACAATGGCCTCCTAGAGGAATTGAAGCATTAAACCCATTTGCTATTCCATTATTAAATACTATTTTATTATTATCTAGTGGTAGAACTGTAACATATGCACATCATGCATTAATTCAAAAAGATCGAAAAGCTACATTATTAGGAATTGCTCTTACTTTAGTATTTGCTATTATTTTCACAGCTCTTCAAGGTGTAGAATATAGAAATGCTGGATTTACTATTGCTGATGGAGTATATGGATCATGTTTCTATTTTGGAACAGGATTTCATGGATTCCATGTTATCATTGGTACATTATTCATTGGAGTAGCATTTTACCGTATTATTAGATATCACATGACTAATACACATCATTTAGGATTTGAATCATCTATTCTATATTGGCATTAAAAATTATCTTCTCGTATACTTAACTAAAAATAAAAAGTTATTGTCTCCGTTAAGTGCCATTCAATTATAAAAATTTCAAAAAATATAAATATATATAATATGAATCATATATATTTATATATGACTAACGACTATTTAATAAAACTTTAATAAGTTATAGTCTAATCAATAATGATAATTATTGAATAAAATTAAATTTAATTAATAATCAATGTTCGTTGATGTAGTATGGTTATTCCTATATGTATCAATTTACTGGTGGGGTTCTTAGAAAACTCGCAGTTAAAAAATGAAAAGATATTAAGCAAATTTAATGGATCCCTTTTCTAAAAATTTTAACTTAAATTTAACTCTCCTTATGATTTTTATAGTTTTAGGGGGTGAATCTTTTCACTAGTTTTTTAATTAATTTCAGCTCCGCGCTGCTACGGACTTGTTTTTAAATTTTGTCTCACAAGCGCGCAGCTAAAATTAAAAACAAGAAATACTTAAAGGATAAATACAATAAAAAATATCACAAGTTATTTAAAATTTTAAAAACGCTAAATCCCCTATTTTGTCTTTTATCTTTTATAGAAATTTTATTTTTAACTATGCGCTTTAATCTAACTTCGTATTTATAGCAGCAACTTCCTACGTGCTACCACTACAACATCTTATGGTGCTTTCAGCTAATTTTAGTGGTTTAAGTTGTGTATTGCAATTACTTTTTTATTGTAAGATTTATACTTCGAGAAATTGTATTAAGAATATAACCCTCTAATAAATATCTTTATAATTATTCATTTCTTTAATTTTAGAGTAAGTTTTATGCCTTAAGAAATCTTAAATTTAAATGAGGCGGAATTAAATTTTATTTTAAAGTAGGATATAGTAAAAGCAAGCAAATGTGCCGAAATTGGTAGCCGGGCCTTGCTTAGGACAAGGTGCTTATTAAAGTTTATGGGTTCAAGTCCCTTCGTTTGTATATGCCAAATAAAATAATGAAGATATGTTATTATAGTACCTTTAACTTAACGGTAGAGTTGCTGTTTTCGGCACAGTCGGTATTGGTTCGATCCCAATAGGGTACTTTAAATTAATTTATTTAGAAGAAGAATAAAAGTTAAATCTGATATAAAAATTAAAAGAAATAGACAATTACTATCTATTGATTATATTATTAGATTTTTAAATATTAATTAATTTATGACCTAATATCGATTAGAAAGGTTAGCATTCTAATAAAATTATATAATTTAATAATTATAATATAAATGGATATCGTATAGTGGTTATTACTCCCGACTTCCAATCGGAAAACACCAGTTCGAGTCTGGTTATCCATAAATTCTTTTTATAAAAATTTTAGTAAAATTTTAATAAAACGATTGCTCCTTTAGTTGTAGTTATATAAAAAATTAGAAGTGTGCGTACAACCTCTTAACAGTAAAAATATAAATTTTTATATGTCATTTTATAATTTTATATTAAAATTATTTTTAATTGCCTTTAATATATTTCTCTTATGTTAAAAATAAATTATATATATATAGTATATATAGTTTTTTTTTATTTAATAAAAGTTATATTAAATAAAAATATTTATATAAAAATATTTTTTTATATAAACGATCATTTATTAAAAAAAAAGTTTAGCCAAATGAATTTTTTAATTTATGAGAGATATTTGAAGATTATATTTAATATAAAACATATATATAAATCCTATTAAATATAGCATTAAAAAGGTTCTAATTACTTTTTAAATATTTATTTATTAATATCAAATATTTATACAATTTTGTTTAATTTTATTTAATGATTATATTTTTGAGTACTCCTAAATCTAACTAAAATAAAAAAAAATTTTTTTTTATTTCATTTAGCTTGCTATTTTTAAAAATTTCTAAATATTAATGAAAGAAATAAACTTGCGGAATAGTTCTTAATAAAATAATCATATTATACAGAAATTAAGTTTAAATTTAATTGCCCAAATAAGTTTAAATAAAAATAGAAGTAAAAATATAAAAAAGTTTAAGTATAATTTTTATTAAAGTTAAAGTAAAAATTTAAGTTAAAGTTAAAGTTTAAAATTAAAAAGGGTTAAAAAATATTAAATGATTACAAGAAGATTATTTAGTTTAATAACAGTCGTTGCGCTGCCAACCATAAAAATTTCCCCATTATTTTTAATTCGAAGAACATCTTTAGTATTATTAGGTGGAAGTATTATTAGTTATAATAGAATTCATCCTGAGGTAATAGAATCAGGATTAGGTACATTAAGTGGATTAATAGAAGTTACACCAGTATCAGAATCAAGAGATAGATTAATTTGTAGAACAGGAAGAAGAATTATATTAAGATGGAGACCAGTAAAAATAAATAAAGAAGTAAATAAAAATCAAATAAGATTAAAAACAGAATTAAGAAATATTTCAGAATATTCATTAATTATTTTATTTACAACATGTGGAGCATCATTATTAATTTCAAGTAGAGATTTAATTTCAATATATTTAAGTATTGAATTACAATCTTTTGCTGTATATATTTTAGCTGCTTTATATCGAGATTCAGAATCAGCAACATCAGCAGGATTAAAATATTTCTTATTAGGAGGTTTATCATCTGGATTAATTTTATTAGGTTCAGGATTAATTTATGCATATACAGGATTAACTAATTTTGAAAGTATTTTTTCATTATTATCTGTTAATGGTATTAATAATTTAACTGATGATTTAGGACCATGTGTTATAGGTTTAAGAATTATAGTTATTGGTTTCTTATTTAAAATTGCTGCTGCACCATTTCATAATTGGGCACCAGATGTTTATGATGGAACACCAACAATTGTAACAACATGGTTAACTATTATACCAAAAATTTCTATTTTTGTATTATTATTAGAATTACAAATAGGATTAAGAAATAATAGAAGAACATATTCAGTAATATCAAATTTAAATGATAGAACTTTTAGTATAGATGTATTTAAAAATTTATTATTAACTTCAGCATTATTATCATTAATTATTGGTACAGTTGTAGGTTTAGCACAATATCGTATTAAACGATTATTTGCATATAGTACAATTTCTCATGTAGGATTTTTATTATTAGCATTAGGTATTAATAGTGAAGAATCTATTGAATCATTTTTATTTTATTTAATGCAATATACTATTACTAATTTAAATGCTTTCTTAATTGTATTAAGATTTGGATATATTATTAATAGATATACATTTAATAAATCTACTGATATTCAATTTATTAGTGATTTAAAAGGACAATTCTATAAAAATCCTTTATTAGGTTTAGCTTTAACAATTTGTTTATTTTCAATAGCAGGTGTTCCACCATTAATTGGATTTTTTGGAAAACAAGCTGTATTATATGCTTCAACACATAGAGGTTTATATTTCTTATCATTAGTAGCAATTGTAGTATCAGTAATTAGTGCATCTTACTACTTAAAAATTGTACGAGTAATTCATTTTGAATCATATGAAAATAAAAATGAATTAAATAAATCATCAGTATCAGAAATTTTATTAACTAATGTACATAGTTTTACTATTGCTACATTAACAATGATTATTGCATTATATGCATTATATCCAACAATTATTATAAATAGCACAACACTATTGGCTTTAACATTATTTAATATTTAAATGACAGCATTAAAAATTACATTTATTTTTGTACCAATTTTAGTAGCTATTTTATTAATACTTAATTTATTATTAGCTCCACATCGACCTGATTCAGAAAAAACAACTGCATATGAATGTGGATATTCACCTATTTTTGGACAAACACGTACACCTTTCTCTATTCAATATTATTTAGTAGGAATTTTATTCTTAGTATTTGATTTAGAAGTGCTTTTACTTTATCCATTAGCAGTTACCTTATATAATGTGTCTATTTATGGTTTTATTATTGCAACAATTTTCTTTGTTGTATTAACATTAGGATTTGTATACGAAATTTCTGTTGGAGCATTATATTTCACAGATCAACGATCTGCAATTAACAAACGAACTATTCAAGCCCCTAAATTCAATCAACGAAAAGGAGTACGTATAATACATACTTCTGCAGTAAATATAAATAAAAAAGACGCTAAATCTAAAGTAAATAATTATTCTTCTATAAGATATTTTAAAATAATTCAGGAAAAAGATAATTAACAGGAAACTGATAATATTTATTTAATTGCTAAACGTATTATTAGAGAAAAAACACTTGTAACATCAGATATTCTTAACTTATTAGCTCCGCGCTGCTACGTACTTGTTTTTTAATTTTGTAAGACAAAATTAAAAAAGTCGCCGTGCGGAGCGCGCAGCTAAAAAATTTTAATTTAAGTATTACAAAAAAGGGTTTTTATAAATTAACTTCTATTAGACCTATTGATTTAAAGTTCTCTATCGGCCAATACGAATGATCTTTACCAAATAATTATCGAGATAAACAAAAAAATACTATTTGTGGTATATATATGTTTATCTGTAATATTACAAATGAAGTATATATTGGTAGTAGTGTAGATTTAGCTGTTCGAATTCGCTATTATTTAAAACCTTGAAATCCATTAATAAATAAATCAATTTACAATAAAGATATAATAAAGATTTTTTATAGGAGAATCTATAAGTAATTTTTTTAAATTAATATAATTTTAATGTATCAATTATCTATAAATATTTTAAATGGGATAAGCGTTTTTTATTTGTAATTTAATTAAGGAAAAAAGAATTAAGATATTTTGTAAAAGATTATATAAATATAAAGTTAAATCTTTATATTTATATAATTAAAATTATTAGCTATGCGCTCCGCATTTTTTATATGTATTGTATTATTATTTATTACAAAGTAATAATTAGATGAAACAATTATTTTTATAACTATAAAATATTAATTTCATTTAATAAATATGTTTTTTACAAGAACTATTTTATATAGATAAAATTGAACCTTCTTTAAATAAAATAATTTTCTAATGTGTCTTATTACTATAACAGAAATTATGATATGGACGAATGATCCCTAGAAAGTAATAATAATGTATAAATTTATTAGAAGTGTTATATTAATATACATTAAGTTATTTGTAAATTATTTAAAAAATAGCTATAAAAGAGATTCTTGGAAGTATATTATAATAATACAATTATATGTCTAGAGAAATATAAAAATTTTTAATATTTTCCGTTTAATTCATTGAAAAAAATAATTATCTAATTTTTTAAATTATAAATAATTCCTTTAGGGATCTAAGGGTAGAGACAGATTTTGATTTTTACACATTTTTTAATAGTACCTCTTTTAATAACTCTCTTATATATGCTAAAACTTTATAAAGTAACAAGAAAGAAGAGAAGGCATTAAAACCAAAATCCTCTATATTGTAATTGAAAACTTAAATGCGAAATATTGATTAAATATATACATATAATTACGGATATATAAAAACATAATAAAAAATAAAATAAAAAAAAAAATGAACATGATGATAAAAAAATTAATTAACTTTATAAAATATTTTTATGAATTTTTAAATAAAATTAAAAAATCTTTAAAATATAGTTTTATAAAAAAACAACCAACAATCTTAAATAATTATTTAAGTAGTAAAAATAAAATATCAGTAATTTATTACACAAATATAAATATAATTTTATATTTTATATCTATAGCTCGAATTTTTTTATATAAAAATAAAAAAATTATTTTAATTAATTTAGTTGAGAATTTATACATTATTTTAATAGGTTTATTATGTATCTGTATTTTTTATAGAATAAAAAATAAAAAATACAACATAAAAATTTTTATTAAAGTATTACTATCTTTCTCAGGTTTTACTCTTTATTGGCATTACCTATTATTGCTAATGGAGAAGGAGTTCCGATTTCTTCTGAAGAGATAGTTGAATTAAATGCTTTTACTAATGGTACTAGACAATCCGGAAATAATAATAGTTTTGATTATAATAAATGATTTGAAAGGCTATAAATTCAGCAAAAACAAATTAGATTGTTGAATGATCCTAAAAGAATGGAAAAGCTTCGTATTGAACAGAAAAGATAGACTTGCTCAAGAGTCTAAATATAAAAGAATTAATAATGATAAGTTTCTTGAAAAATTAATAGGAGATATGTAAATTAAATAGGAAGAATTAACAAAAATAGTAAGAGAACTTAACTATCATAATTCTTCAGATTTTATAAAAATATTTCCTAAAAATAATCAATAAATTATATATTTTAAGTTATTCTTAATCTATATAAACACAAATAAATCCCGAGATAAGATAAATTAA